CCAGGGCTACTTACAACCCAGATTTGAAGTAGGGCTGCCCTCTCCTTCCATGATCACTTGATTACATTTTGGGTTCTTGGTAACCAGCTGGCATTTATATCCTTTTGCAGCATCGCACAGTCACATGACCAAAATGCACAATGTGTTTTTTGTTAAAAACTGGTGTTTACTTCTGGTTTCCAGCAAAACCCCTCACCCATTGCGGATAATGGATTCACTTAATAATGGCAGCATTCACTTAATGACTGTGGTGATAGACTTAATGACTGCTGCAAAAAAGGTTATAAATTTGGGCATGGTTGCTTAACTGGCGCAACTTAACAGCTGTAATTCAGCTCTCAATTAATGGACTGAAGTCAAGAACTACCTGTATTCACAGCTACCAACAGCAGAGAATAGGAGTGCCTCCTATCCAAGGACTGAAAGTTTGGCTTTGGGGAAAGTTATAAGGAAGGGCTAAAAGCAAATACCTTCAGCATACAGAGGGTTAAGTCATTCATTTCATCCTTAAAATCCCACTATGCAAATTATTTTTAAAAGGTGGAAAAGATCAGTCCTATCTAGTGATATGACAAATTAATCTTGCCCCTGTCTCCTACACACAAGACTTAATGTAACATGTAGCTCCCCAGTCTCTAAAGCTTACCACACTATATTAAAGCTTGTATTCGTCATAGTATTTTGAGGGTTGCAAAATCATCATCTGCAAAGGGACTTGATAAAAGGACTCTAGGGAAAATTGACAAATGTTTGGACCCAATTCAGCTACAGTAGTTGTAGATTTTTTTAAATGAGTCTTACTGTTTAATTACATCGATTTGAAGCTGCAACAGCATCATCTGGATTTTCATTTAAAACCTGTTACTGCAAAATATTTTATAGCAGTGTTTTATTAATAAAAGAAATGTCAAATTTTGTGATTATTAGTGCCATAAATCAAATGGGTGTGAAATGTATATTTAGTCGTGTTTTAAAGTACATGTCAAAATGTACAATAGTGTATGAATTTTAAATGCTTATCAGCCATGATTTACAAAAAAATTACAGAATATCCTTACCAAATGCATTTGCTCTTCCATGTTATATACCAGGCAAAAAAGTATGTATTGTTAAAAGTGTTTGATGACGACTGCTGAACAATGTTCTATATCACTATACAACCATCTTGAATGGAGATTATATTTGACCAGTAGTATTTTATTTCCATCTCTGTAAAAGCTGAGTGAAGAAGCTAGCCTCATTGTAATGAAATGCATTAAAATATTTCTGTATAAAATGATTTAAATAATAGTATAAACTTTAAACTCCCATTTCACCTATTTATATCACTGTCTTTAGGTTGCCTTATTTCAATGTCTTATTTTCAAGGGAGAAGAATGAAGAAATCAAGGACAACTGCTCATCTGATATTTTGAAATTCACTTAAATTTAGTACTTTTAAAGACAGCATGCGGCATTTTTATATAGACACAGCATATAAGTAGTAGTTTAGCAAAAGTGGAAATGCTGTTTCTAGGTTAGCATTTGTCAGCTACAGTCCTTTATAAATACTATATTTGTATAAATAGCATATACATTTTAAGATTTGTTATCTGGAAAATCAGGTCATCTTACTGAAAATAATCATTTAAGCCAACAATTTAGTCAGTGAAATACTGAGTACCAATTACAGATGGCATTGGTGTTAAAGATAAATTTCCACCTATAATCTTAGTTTTATTCCATTTTGTACAGATGTATTTAGGAGAATGGGGTAATTTGCAAGGAGTTATAAAATGCCAGATGGAAGAAATTGCTCATATTGATCTCAGAACTGAACTAGAACCAAGGAAGGAAGCAATTCTGTTTGATAAACCAACTAGAGGAACTACTGTTCAAAAATTCAAAGAGATGGTCTATGGGCTTTTTAAAGTAAGTATATTATTTCTCCATTGCCTGGAGTGATGATGACTGAGATTAAAGTAATGATACAAGACAGATTATTTAATTATTTCATATTTGTGGCAAGATCATTAGATAAAATTAAGACTTTGTGTTGGGAAGTTTTATAAGGATTGCATGAAATGAACTTTTTAAGTTCTGCCTCCCCATTATGATCCTGCTTTATTACAAATAAGAAACTGCCATTGCAATACAGTTGACAGTCTTTCTGTTACTACTCTTATTCTTTTAAAGGCTCCATTTGAAGCACTCTTATGATTAAATATAGCTAAGTCTTGGATTAAGTAGAGGTATTAAAAATTGCATTGGTAGTTCATTTTTTGTTGTTTTCTTGCAGATGTTTCAAGAGGCACTCTTGGTTTGTTCCATAGTTATGCAATTTATATTTTGTAAAGTAGCTACCTTTAAACACACTTATGTGTAGCAAATTTCAATATTAGCAAAGGTGAACCTGCTGCATAGCTTAAGGTTATCTCACTGTTGGGATACGTATTTTGTTAAATTCTTTGAAAATTCATCTGACAATAAGCAATAATTAATTAAAAATAAGAACTGAGTGCACTGATATTTCAACATATATGACTTCTTTCTAGGCAAAACTGGGAGAGCAAGGAAATCTTCCCGAACTGGTTAATCTCATCCTGACTGTGGCTGATGGGAACAAAGATGGCCGCGTTTCCTTGCCAGAAGCAAAGTCGGCATGGGCGCTTCTCCAGTTAAATGAATTCCTGCTCATGGTAATTCTCCAGGACAAAGAACACACTCCCAAATTGTTGGGGTTTTGTGGAGATCTTTATGTGATGGAAAAAGTTGAATATACCTCTCTTTTTGGAATAAGCCTTCCGTGGATCTTTGAACTCTTCATTCCTTTTGGTTTCAGAAGGAGCATGGATCAGTGGTTTACTCCATCGTGGCCCAGAAAGGCAAAAATAGCCATAGGGCTCCTAGAATTTGTGGAAGACATTTTCCATGGACCGTATGGAAATTTTCTTATGTGTGATATGAGTGCCAAAAACCTGGGTTATAATGATAAATATGACTTAAAAATGTTGGATATGAGAAAAATAGTGCCAGAAATGAATTTAAAAGAACTTATTAAAGATCGTCACTGTGAGTCTGACCTGGACTGTGTTTATGGCTCAGACTGTAGAACTGTATGTGACCAAAGTAAAATGAAATGTACTACAGAAATAATTCAGCCAAATTTAGCAAAGGTGTGCCATTTGCTGAAGGACTATCTGCTTCTTGGGGCTCCTTTAGAAATCCATGAGGAATTAGAGAAACAACTGTACTCTTGCATTGCCCTGAAAGTTTCAGCCAATCAGATGGAAATGGAACATTCCTTAATACTCAATAACTTGAAAACTCTATTGTGGAAGAAAATATCTCATACAGATGATTCTTAGGTGCTTCGTCTCAGAAGAAGATACAGTTGCTACTGTAGGAGCTGACCACTTTTTGTGAAGCATACTTTATAGTTTTTGAAACATTTGTTATCCTCGCCTTTTATCCGTTTCTCTTTCAGACATGTTTTTTCCCCAATTGAAAAGAGTTATATGTGTACTTAAAATGTATGCCTGTCAGACTACTGAAGCCATATGGCTACAACACTCCTGGCTGGAACGAATACTAATTCCCTGTTACCCTTTTACCCTTCACTGGCTTAAGATATTTCTTAAGCGCCTTCTGTTGTTAGTATTCATTCTGTTTCTTTAGAAACTTACTAAAAGCCAAATTTATACATATGGAGAGAGCATTTGGTATAATCCCAGGAAATCCGTTCTATAGAATTTATAAACTCACATGTATTCAACTGAACAGCTTCCTAAATGTAAAAAAAAAAAAATCTAGCATTTGACGTCTATCCCACCCTTTTCCCTGACAAGTTAGTTAATTAAAAACTGGGAATTCTTGACGTAGGACAGTATAAAAACACCGATCACACTTCCATTTCTAAATAACAGCTAAAGAGAGCTACCCAAGAACCTCTGCATCATGAAGCAGTTCCAGTTAGCCGAGCTGCTTCATCTGGCAGTAGAAGACCCTCCCACTTGGATCCAGCAGACCCTCCATCCATCCATCCTTCTAGCCTTCTGGAACACCTTGAAGAGCTGGGGTTGGTTCAGGGCATGGCTGGAGTCCTAGAACTGCAAATGGCGAGGTAGGGAGGAGTGTGTGTTTGAGGGCTCTAGGACCCGGTTTTTTTCATGGTGGCTTTACAGGTAGTCCTCGACTTACAACCACAAGTGAGCCCAGAATTTATGTCGCCAAGTGAGATATTTGTTAAGTGACTTATGTCCCATTTTACCATTTTTCTTGCCACATTACTGCAGGTGCTAAATTAGTAATGCGGGTGCTAAGTGAATCTGGCTTCCCCATGGACTTTGCTTGTCAGAAAGTTGCCAAAAAATGATCATATGACCCCGGGACACTGCAACCATCATAAATACGAACCGTGGGTCAATATGAGTTAATTGTCAAGCATCCAAATGTAAATCACGTGACCATGGGGATGCTGTAACGATCGTAAGTTGTGAAAAATGGTCATAAGTCACTTTTTTCAGTGCTGCTGTAACTTCAACGGTTGCTAAAGGAACTGTTGTAAGCCGAGGACTACCTGTATTTTTTTTTCATTTTTTACTGCCTGGTTTTTTGAGCTGTCCAGGCTTATTGTACAGAGGATGGGCAGCCGTATAACACCTTTGAATAAATGTATTAATTAATATCTCCTCTTGACAACGTCCCAGGTATCAGTCTGCTCCCTGGGAAAGTTCTGTGCCCTGGACTTTATTTGCCCTGCGTCTTTAGCAAAGAGAAAACTTAGAAGGAATGGGATGGGCGAAGTTGACCGTGTGGGATATTGGTTTAAAAAACACACTCTTAGCTGCCATTTTTGTAAATGCTGGCTACTTTATGAAAGAATTCCTGGTGACTCAGATAGGCTTCTCATCTGAACTAAATGCATGCAAGGGAAAGAGCTTTGTCCCTAAACACTGGTATCATTTAGTCCAAGTAAATGCGGAACTCTTTGCATCTAGGGACCTGCTCTTGTTCCAAAGCTACCACCTTGCAGACATGACAAGAAGTTTCCTTGTGTTCTTTTGACTTAACTATATCTTTATTTTGTGTTCTTGCTTCCCCTCAAAAAACTACAAAATGTATTGTGGTGCTTTTAAAAAAATCTGAAGTGTGATTTTTAAAATTCTGAAGTTTCTTTACAATCGTCAATCTGAAGAATCCATCACTATTAGATTACTTTTTTAAAATAATATTTTGGGGATTGTCTATTAATTTTAGCATGGCAGAATTTGCACATTACCATAGTAATTTTTAGAGAAAATTAATGTGACAACTGAAAATGTTTTAAAATGGAAGTTTTTCGAACCAGAACTTTTTGTTAGATTTTTACATTTGTATACACATTTACCTCATACATACATTGAGTATTAGTAAGTTTGCAAATCTCCTCGTTAAAAATAGCCATTGTACCGTTCTAGCATTTAAGGATTTATAAGTTGCACACACAATCATACACACACACGAGCAGCAATATGATATATCAGCTTCAATAAACTACAGTAATCAGTTGGACTATATGAACAGATTTATTAAAAAGTATTAAGCATTATACAATTGAAAGTAAGAAGTCGAAGAGATCCCTAAGCTTTGGTTTGTCCAAATCACAGTTTAATGCAATCAAATAATTGAGTCCTCATTTTTTATCAGCAAAGTATTTAAATCATAATGGACAATCTCACCAAAAGAAAGCCTATCCAACAGTTAAATTCTATGTATGACTGTTCTGAAGTAATATCAGTATTGTAGTTGTAAGGTGGAAGATTCCTATTGGGAGGTAATCATTTGTTCCTTTAACTATCAAACTGTTGTGATTTCACCATATGCACTTTGGAAACTAGAATTATTACATTCACACTGATTTTGTAAGAATGTATAGGTTTGTTTTCATACTATGTGATGAGCCAATTTCTAAAGTGGCATTCGTCTTAAGGTAATGAATATTGGTTTTGGCATTGCTTACAAAACAAAATGAAATACAGCAGTGATAAGATACATGTGTTCACCACTAACCTTGTTGGACTTGTTTTTTTTAAATATTATGTAGTACTTTCCATTTCTGTTGTGTGTTTTTCTCAAAACTAGACCGTAATCCCCAGTTCTAGAAAGAAATGGCAACTTTGATCACACATGGATAATCTTTGGAATCTTATTTAGCACCTAGCTAGTTAATAAACTACATTATTCAACATAGTTGTTTAGCAGACCTCTTCTGAAATACTTTTGCATGTTCCTGTTTGACACTAATTCACCTTTAGTTTTTGACTTGATTCAGTTTTTTTTATAAGACAAGAAAATGACAACAATTATTGACAATTTCACTTTTTGAAATCAACAAAATATTCTTTTTTAACCTGTCAAACATGCACTTATAAAGGCAAAAGAACTATTGTTCCCTGTATAATACGTGACATTATTTGCTTTAGGGTCTTGTATATTTTTGCCTTGTATAAATATTTTTACTAACAGTTTTATTGCACAATGTCCACTTTGTTTTTAAATTGACAGAGACAGCATTTATTAATGGTACCAGTAAACATTCTTAAATCTTAAAAGCAAATCCATGGTGAGTAAGTCTGAATGTCAATATTTAACAGTTATTGCTCAGTGAGAAAAAAACTATTTGAAAGTTTGGAATAATGGAACTTGTTAGCGATGCAGTTTGTACTGTGTTTTATTTTGATTGCTGTTATACCACTTTCAGGTTTTTATTTTAAATATGAACTGTTTACAATAAACTGGAACTATTTCCTCTTTCTGATAGTAATACATGTTGGGTAGAAACACTGCATTAATTATTAGCATAATTATTGCTGGAGATAGCAAGAGCTCATTGATTCTGGGTAAATTTGAACAAGGTTCAATTTGATTATGTAGTTGAGTCTGTATAACGTGTGCCTGCCTTAACTTCTCCAAATACAAGAAACAAATCAATATGACAATTTTAGTGGACCAAGGTGTGTTGAAAGTCCAAAACACTGATTTCTGCTTGTAGTTTTTGTATTCTAACAAAAAAAATTGATACATGATGATTGAATTTGATTCATTTTGTCAGTCTGGTTGCTACAAAGCAGAAATGATTGAGGAATAGAAAACCCGAACCTGGATTAAAATCTGTTGAGATGACAAGTTTGTTTGATTCTCTGTTCCAGCAGATAGCCCTTTATTGTCCCCTAGCAAAATAGCCTGGGATACAGTTGCATTCATTCATTTTTTTATATAAAAGTCATTATAATGCAATAAAAGATTAAAGAAATGGGATATATGAAACAAAAAACGTTATATTTATGTAGTTATCAAGCACATCTAAATTATATTAAAGTAACCAAAATATCTCTACAATCCCCAAGGCATGTCACAACTTTTGAGCACCCCCTAATGTTTGGAAATTGAAAGTTGAAAAATTTGACACACCCTAAATAGGGTGCTTCTGCTTTCCTCTTGAGATTGAAACTTTCATGTAGTGATGGAAGAGATTGGGGAAGGTGCTTGACTATTACACAATTGGCCATTTCTATTCCAAAACTCATTGTGTTTACCAATTTGTTTGTAATTGCAGAGGTAATTATTACATTGGCAGAACTGATAGATGTTTGGCTTTCAGAATAAAGGAGTATCTTCCAAAATGGGTCCAAACAGCCTTGAGTAATGCAATCACAACAGCAAATCATAGCCATAAAATGCCTTCTTCGGCCATTGTGAGATACTATGGGTCACCAGATGCAGTGGTGGGATTCAAATTTTTTTACTACCGGTTCTGTGTAGGTGTGGCATAGCATGGTGGGCATGGCATGGCTTGGTGAGCGTGGCAGAGGAAGGATACTGTAAAATCCCCATTCCCTCCCCACCCCACTAACCTGATTTCCAGCTCCATTCTCCTGAGCAGGGCAACAAAAGAAGACCCAGCTGATCAGCTGAGACTTAGGAGGCAGAGAATAGATAGGGACGGGGCCAACCAGAGGTGGTATTTGCCAATTCTCCCAACTACTCAAAATGTCCACTACCAGTTCTCTGAACTACTCAAAATTTCTACCGGTTCTCCAGAACTGGTCAGAACCTGCTGAATTCCACCTCTGACCAGGTGGATCAAAACTCTGTTTAAAGTTCTACTGTGCCACTGGAACTTTCGTTTCCTGCGATTTGCTGAGGCGATCGCCATTAACAGTTGAGTCCCCCTTTGTGCATGCAGAAACGGCTTTACGCCAATCCACGCCTCTCATGCATTGCCCTTGGTTGCTTTCCTGCATATGTTATACTTAATTAATGCTCTTGCTAGATCTTATAGTTGAGGCTGATTGTAATCGTGTTATTGTAACGTATATACTGATGAGTCAATACGAAAGGCTTGCATCTACCTCTGTTTCTCTTTTGGCTATATTGTTTAAATTATTTCTATTTCGTTTCAACTTAGGGATTCCCATAAGAACCCAGAATAAACATATACAGTTTATTTCTGCATTAATATGACCTAAAATGTAATCTGTTCTTCACACAAGCCCAAAAACTAGGTGAAGAGAACCCTATTAAACAATTAAGTCAAAAACGTTATAGTCCATGTATTTGAGAGAAATTATCCAAATCTATACTTATGTGTGGCAGAAGTATGTGAACCTTCGCTTTCAGTAACCGGTGTGCCTTCATGTAACTGCAACTAAATGTTTCAGATAACTGTTGGTCAGTCCTGAACATCGGCTTGGAGGAATTTTAACCAATTCCTTTTATGGAATAGATTCAATTCAGGGTTATTTGTGGGCTTCCTTGCATGAATTCCTCGTTTCCTACAAGATTTCTGTAGGATTAAGGTGAGGACTTTGACACCCCATTCCAAAACATTAACTTTTTTCTGCTTTAACCATTCTTTGATTATACGAGATGGATTGTTGTGCTGTACAACCCGCTTTCCCTGGAGCCCAAGTTCACTGACAGATATCCTGATATTTTCCTAAAATTTCCTGCCACGATTCAGAATTCATAGTTCTATCAGTGAATGATTTATCAATGGCAAATCATCCTGGTCTGTTATACTGCTACCATCACAGAAGGTATAAAGTACTTATCCCGAGTTTGTCTTTCCCAAACATAATTATTTGTCATTCAAGTAAAAAAAAAGTTCTATTTTGTTCTCATCTGCCCATAGAACATTTTCCCAATAGCCATTTGCCTTATCCACGTGGTTTATGTACATGGGCAGCAATGACTTTCTCCTTGCATTCCTGCCATGCAGACCACTGTTGTTCAGTGCTCTTTTGATGATGGTCTCATGAACATTGACATCTACCAATGCAAGAAAGGCCTTTAGTTCTTTACATGTTATCTTGAAGTTCCTTGAG